CTCGCACGCTCGTCCCACCCTGAAAGGCACTGGTTATCGCTCCACTGCAAACCACTGCTCAGTGTCAAGCTCAGGAGAAACCAACAGTCAAAACCTTTTATCCTCTGGAGCTCAGAGGAGAGAACGTGGCCTAACAAAAGGGAGGATGGAGGGGTCGTAAGGAAGCACTGGTGGCTTAAGGGTAAGGAGTTGTGTAGTCAACTCAAAGACACACTGTTCAAATCCACCAGTGGCTCTATGGGAGAAAGATGGGCAATCTTCTCCCGTGTGATTCATTGCCTCTGAAGAACGCTGAGAGTCAGCTATGGGTCGGTTCTGACTCAACGGTACTCAACATCAGGTGGGTCCTAATACTTCACCTTTGCCTTTGCCAGCCCACCTCATTCCTTGGAGCCTGTAACTTCAGCAAAGCAGCGCTGAACCAGCACACACAGGCAAAATCACTGGCCACGTGAGCGTCACGTGGGCCTCTCAGGTGGCACTTCCCTCACCCAGTCAGCATCCCCAGACGCTGGAAGGCATCCAGTGATCTGACCTTTGTTGGTCACCACAAAGACTCAACCTTTGGGTTTCAGTAACTACCTTAAACATAAATGGTTTAAACGATCCCTTCAAAAAACAGAGAGTGATAAAATGAATTTAAAAAACAAACACGAGGTTAACAAGGTAAAAAACAAAACAAAACACACGATCCATCTTTATGCTGCCTACAAAAGGCACAGCTTAGACACAGGATACAAACAGACTGAAAGCAAAAACAGATGGGAAAGAATATCCCCTGCAAACGTTGTTGTGTACCCCCGACACGGAGCTGACTCACAGCTGACCTTGCAGCAGGTTTTCAGAGGCAGTAAATGGCCAGGAGGAGACTGCCCACCTTTCTCCCATGGTGCATCTGGTGGATTTGAACTGCATGCCTCTGGTTTGGCAGTGCACTTCCTTACCACAAGGCCACCAAAGAATATTCCATGCAATCAGTCACCAAAAAGGAGGAGAGGTAGCTATTCTGATGGCAGATAAGACAGACTTCACCTAAGCACTTGACATTGTTGTTATTATTATGTGCTGTTGAATCATAACTGATTTATAGCTGTAAATCCCATGGGAGGAGACTCCCCACTTTTCTCCCATGGAGAGGCTGGTGGACTTGAACTGCCTACACTTATGAGTTGGCAGCACAACTCCTTACCACCAAGACATCAGAGCTCCTTCAAAATACAAAATACCGAATGGCATAAAAGGGCTATTGGACAATTCTATTGTGACAGTTTGGACACAAATACAATACTTCCAATTCCAGACAAAATACTTTAAAATAAATTAGTAAGAAAAAAAAACCCTTAAGTAATATCATAGGCCAATTAGACTTAGTGAACATTCCACTTTTGAGGACAACACAAATTTTTCTCCTATGAACACGAATCACTTTTCAGATGAGACAAAATATTAGTACACAACAAGGCTCAATAAACTTAAAAAGATGGAAATTATACCAAGTATCTTCTTAGACCAAAGATGAGTAACATTAGAAACTAAATGCATAAACAAAACCAGAAAATATATGACTTTTTGTAAATTAAACAATGTACTATTAAGCAACCACTGGGTCAAGGAAGAAATCAAGAGTGAAATAAAAAGAATCTGAAGATAAATGAAAACACAGGGCACTAAAATGTACGGGATGCAGTAAAGGCAGGCTTGTCAAAATAAACACATGAAAAAGGGTCTCAAATAAATTACAGAATTCTACAGCTTAAGGAGTCATAAAATGAAAAACAAATTAAACCTAAAAGATAAAAAAATAAAGATAAGACAAAAATCATGCTGAGACCCCACAAACCACCTGGCCCTGCCCAGTGCCACCTCACATCCTCTGCCAGGCTCAATCGACTGCCGCAGACGTAGGGTTCCTCCATCTCCTTTGGAAGGTCTCCCTCTCTTTCGCCAACGCTCTGTCTTTGCCGGATGACGTCTTTTTTTCCCAAGGACTGACCCTTCCTGGCAACCTGGCCAAAGCATGTGGAATGAAGTTTCACCACCTTTACCTCATAAATCCTCTAAGACACACCTGTCTGTTCTTTGGCAGCCCATGGGATAGTCAACACCCATTTTTGCCAATACCACAGTTGAAAGGCATTGCTGCTTCTTCAATCATCCTTACTCACTGCCCCACGCTCAGTTGCATAGGAAACAACTGAAAATACCATGGCTTGCATCCGGTGCACCTGAGTCTTTAAACTGACAGCCTTGCTTTTTAGCACTTTAAAGAGGTCCACGCCCATTACTTCCTTAATTACAAGAATATTTATAAAATAATCTAAAGTTTATCCTGTGTTTTTAACTACCTATATGGCAAAGTCTATCTTATTTTCATTTTTTTTTTCCTTAAGGAAAAATATGCACCTAGCACAGCTGGCGTTATTATTATGTGCTGTCAAGCCATAACTGGCCCATAACTGACTCCAGCGGGTTTTCAGAGGCTGTATATCAAATGGGGGGAAAAGCCCTAAACCATATCAAGCAAACCTGAGTCCTATTCCTTCCGTATCTTTATAAACAACCTCTCTAGCTTATGGATGCTGCAGATTCTTCTAATGAAACCTCTTATTAGTCAGAAGTCTACTTATAACTCAGTTTTTAAAAGTGTGGCATAATCAGAATACCCCACTAACTGGCAGTGCTAAGTGGGCATGGAGAAACAGCTAGATTGGCGATTTTCTGGATGAGGACACTGGTCTAGGGAGGTGGGTGAGCTGCTCACGGCCACATGGTTTTTAAAGCTGGACCTAGAAGCCAAGGTGCCTCCATCTAACCCCAGGGCTCTGCCTACTTGATAACTAGGGTCCTTCTAGCTGGTAACCTCTAGTTGGCATGTCACCATTCTACCGTTCTCTTCTGGAAAGGATACACGTGAGCCCAACCATAAGTCCACAGACGTTACTGAAGAACGAGGTCTGGGGAATGAGCCAGGAGAGGCAGAGCAAGATCCAGGGGACCAGCACAGAAGGCATAACCACCCCGAACACCAGGGTGCGCCTTATTCGAGAACGGACAGAGCTGACCCCCAACATGGCGAAAGCCACCGGCGTGAACCCCGTGGCATCCTCCATCTCCCCCAGCTTTGTGCGGGACGTCACGATCTCAAACGACAGGTAGACGATAGCAGAGATGACGGTGAAGATCAAGGTGAAGAAGCAGTGGCGGACTGTGCCTACGCTCCGCTCAAAATTGCCAGCAAAGCGCCAGATGATGACGGCCCCACAGAGCAGGGAGACTGGACTCTCGTAGACAAAGATGTAGGTCACCAGCCTGTAAACTGAAGAGGGAGCTGAGTTAGATGCCCGACAGTGGGTCGCTCCAGGGAGGGGAGGCTGGGTTATACCCACATCCAGCAAGTGGGGAGAGACCTACGTGGTAGAGCCTGAGGCACCACTGAAAATCAGCTGGGTGTCAAGATAGGTAGCATGTGGTAAAAAAAGAGATCCAATACTCAAAGCACAGGCCTGGGCCCTGCTCCTTCCCAGATTTGGAGCCAAGTCTTGCCAGTGATTTACTCCCATATGGGAAAAACAGGCCACTTTGTAGCATGGAGTAGCCTTTGACTTTATCAAGTGCTTTATGACCTCTTTGCAGGTCTTAATACTGACCTACCTCATGGGGGAGTGTGAGGGTTAATTAATTGTAACAGCTTCTGGGTGGACTGAGGGGGTGAGTCCCTTCACACTCTGTGTGGCCAACTCCTTGCTGTAATCCTGACCTCGCCTTCCACAGTGGCTGTTCAGACGGAGAAAAGAAGGGACCACGAGTTTATTTCATAGCTATGAGGATTAGACAGAATTGTTCTGCAGCGCTGAGGATAAATGGTAGTTCTGTCACTAATAATATATACAAATCAGAAGTCCTCCTTCAAGAGGGCTCACCAAATCTTACAGGTAGCACAGTGCTGTCTGTGTAGCAAGACGACAAAGAATGCTATTATTATTGCTGTACAAAAACAAAAAAACAAAAAACCGTTAGGGTTTTATGTACTTTTATGTCCTGGTAAGTCAAAACATTACACTGAAGGAGGTAGAATGGTGGCGTGAGTTGGGAATTTAAATCCAGGGAGCAAAGTCTCAGCTTTATACTTTAGCTACCCGGGTTAAGACAGAGCCGTTCTTGGTCTCCATTTCCTCATTAGAGTATTAGAGGGTTTGACTTAACATCTTCTTAAATCCCTTATGTGTCTGTTACTCAGATGTTCTTGAACTCCACACTTTGGGGAGCTGTGAACTAAAGGGAAGGAGAGGAACTCAGTTCAGGTTGGCATTTTCACTAGTCTTTCTAAGGTGCAGAGAACAGTTTCAGATCTAAGCAGAGAGGCGGACCACGCACCCATAGACCTCAATCCTGGAAGGCTTCACAGTGTCATTATCTGGAGGGCTTCACTGCTGAGCACTTCTGAAACAAAGACACGGAATACCAGTGTACAAATATTTCAGAAGCAATTCTGTACGATTTGCAGGTTTGTAAACGCCAGGATCTCAAAACATCATACAGTAAAATGGAAAAGTGTAGGTTCTTGTCTAAGCCACCTGGCTTGATGGTTCTGTGATTATCTGCTTTCAGTCTTTTCATCTATACAAATGGGACTATTAAATGGGATTCTATGAGGGTTCAAGGAGATTAATACATGTGTGTCTGCTATACATATGTACCATTTTCCTGCCCCCAAAAGAATGAGGGAATAGATGTCTTTTTTTATGAACAAATGTTTTACACTGAAACTGCTGGGTAACCCTGATTCAAAAATGACTCCTAGCTGACCCTCCAGAGGGTTTTCAGAGGCAGTAAATCCCACGGAGGGGACTGCCCTCTTCCTCCGCTGGAGCATCTGGTGGATTTTATGGAGCTGCGTGACTGTGAGTTGACAGTGCAAATTCTTACCACTAGGCCAACAGAGCTCCCTTATACGGAAACTAGTCTGCGCAATTTCTCTAGAAAATACGCATCTCTTTAAAGGCAGAAGATATTCATCTTATAAACTATAGGCTGGAGTAGGAATTGAGATACAGAGAAAATAGAAAAAAACGACAACCTTCAAGAGCAAGCTCAGGTGTCTTGATGAAGGTGTGAAGGAGGTCCATTCTCCCCCCCCCCCCCCCCCCCCCCCCCCCCCCCCCCCCCCCCCCCCCCCCCCCCCCCCCCCCCCCCCCCCCCCCCCCCCCCCCCCCCGCGTTAAGATTTAGGCCAAAAGCAGAGGCAGATGTGAAGAGAGAAGAAAAACCCTTCTCGAAGAGCGATCACGGATGAATGGAACTGGTTTGCTAGCGGGTGTCTGCGGGTTTGGTGGAGCCAAGGAAAGATGGGGGCAGGTGTGGGGCGGGAATGATTACAGTGACGACGAGGATGGAGGTCTGGAGAGACAAAGACGTCTACCATGGGGGGGCTGGTCCTCGAGGGGAGGAAGGAAGATCGGGGATGCGGCTGGAGGCAGGGGCAGGCTGCAGATGAGGGCTGATGGGGCGAGTCCTGGCGCAGGGTGGCCGAAATCGGCGTAAGGAGGCTGGCCCGGGGTTCCCGGCTGCGCCCCGGCTCACCTTGCCAGTTGTACAGGGCCTCGGACCGCAGCGACAGGCCCGAGGACGCCAGGGGCGGCTGCAGCAGAAACAGGCGCGGCCCGGACACCAGCAGTGAGAGCAGGGCCGTGAAGAAGGTGGCGGATGGCACCTCGGGGCACAAACACCAGCTCCGACCCGCGCGCCCCGAGGCTGCCAAGTCCGCCATGGTTCCGTCGCCGCGGGAGTCCTCGGCTCTTTCCGTCTCCCAGCGGCTGTCGCCCTGGCAACAGAGGAAGAGCCAATCGGAAGCATCGCCTCCGAAGGCCCCGCCCTCACAGCAAATTGTCCAATCCGGTCTCGGGACCAGCCCCCTGCGGCGCCCAGCAAGCCGGGAAGTCAGGTGCGTTTTGGGACATGCGGCTTCGGCAGCTTCGGAGCTTGAACTAAATTCGGGCTTCGGGTACGTTTGAGTTCCTAGGATGCACCAACCCTGGGTTTGATTCCCTCATTTCTGCCCTAGACACTTGATATTTTGCACTTTTTTAGAAATTGAGATTTTTAACGAAAGTTTGTCACTGCTGCATACTTCCCTCCC